GTCATGACCCAGAGCTGCGCGAAATACCTACGGTGCAAGATTATCATCCACGATGTTGGATGGTATGGAAGGGTCGGGCGGCGCCTGGGCTTGTGGTGTAGAACGTTGAATCGGTGCATCTCTGTAGCCTGCATATTCAGTGCTATCCATCATGATATGGTAATTAGACATACGGCTGCGAGGTAGTGATATCGGATACTGACACTGGTTCGTCTGGTATCGTCAACGGGCAGCTGTGATAGCATGAGAGACCATTTCTTCATGATTCCCGGTTGAAAGCTCACTGCGTTACGGAATCTGCGGAGGCGGCAGTGTCGCCTACAGACTTGTCGTTGCCGTTTTCGATCTGTCAACATGATGACAAGGTCAGTGATTGAATCTAATGACTGAGACGATTAATGCCTCACATTTTCAGTCTGCCGCTGAGGGCTTCGAAATAATGACGCGCAACAACCCATGGTACTGAGCAAAGGAGGTCTGCGTTGCGCTGAATCGAAGTGTCAGCAGGAGTGAGCAGGTTCCTTGAAGAACAGCTGACCGCGCCTATTATTAAATATGAAGCCCCCATATCCACAACTAAATTTGCAAAGCGCCTGAGTGTGCGGACTCAGGAATTAGCGCTTAAACCGCATGCAGTTCAAAGAACGGTCGAAAGCAATAATACATGCCTAAACTGCGTTGCTTCTAGATGCTAGTGCCCTGCCACATTGGTACAATCATGGATGGCGTCCGAATCCAAACCTCATCATGATCTTAGATTTAGTCACTGGTATGGTTAGTTCTGTCCAGCAGGTGACCAGCGAGGCCTTGAGGTTCAAGCGAGGTTGCGCCACTGTGGGAATTCGTATTCCCTACCTAGTATGCATCGACACTATGCATGAGAGTAAGGCAAAAACGCTTCATCTTGACGAAAGAAGTAAAAATACAAGTCTGACTTAAACTCAGTACACATTGTTCACATTATTTACTAGTGATAACATGTAGCTTGAATATGCAGCACGGACGTCATTATTTGCTGGAGAGTACGTATAAAACCGGCAGGCGGTGCAGGTAAGTGGGAAGCGAGCAAGTTGGACCCGACTATGCATCATCACATTCCGAACCAGATAACCGCATTTTGAGTTATCACTGCTTGGTCCGCGGAGTAGATGAATTCCGAAATTCGATTACAGTGGAGCAGGTCAGGCTGCCACTGCCTGCATGATCAGAGTGTTCTTCGATGAGTCGAGATCTACAATCTGTGCTCACAACTCACAAGTTCCTCTAAGTGACACTCCGAGCTAGACGAATGAAGTACTATCGCCGACCTCAGTCACACACAGCAGGCCCTCTTCACTTTCATTCACCTCCTGTTTTCGCGTCACACATCTATAGACTTTGTACAGTCACAAGCTTCACGAGATGGTACATATGTGTGATATCTGTTACGCAATTCAAACTCGCTCACAGTTCGTCTATAACGGACCGGCGTGTTTGACAGTAAGGCAGTATTCACTGATTTTGATAATGATAGTGATACTATTCTACACATATCTGAAGCTCATTCAAACTATCACCTGCGCCAGGCTCACATACGACGGCGTCACCAACCCACACCCACTCACTACCTTCGCCCTTCAGCCTATCCAATGAACGCTCAAATCCTCCACTACATCCGCTCTTCCGTCCTCAAGTGCTTGGGTTGACTCATACGCGTCGAGAAATGATTTCGCAAAAGAACCACGATGGCCTCCATGATAAACCGATGGAAGGACTAGTTCGGTGCAGGCCGACGACGAGCAAGATAAAATCCACAGCATTCTATTAGATGTTCTCCTGTTTCGGAATCAGAACTTTGCCCCTGAGCACTTTGTCCTTGGGACCCTTGTGCTCCCGCTACAGCTTGTACTTGCTGCGTTGAGCTGTCAGCATTATTGCTGTTCGTGCATTGCATAGCTGCAGCTGCTTCCGCGTCGGACTCAGGGACAATACCATATCTCTGCAAGATGATTTGAGTGACATCACAAAAGGCCCTGTAGTGATGACAAGCGACTCACATCTTCCATATTGCCATGTAATTATGAGTTAGGTCAGCCGAAATTACGATTACTACAAGTTTACAACATCACTGCAATCCCATGACTACTCCAGAAGTATGTACTCAGACAATACTCGTCAATGCTGCATAACATACGCAAAAGAAAAATCAAGTGTTACGCCGCCTTCTCGACTTCCCATGGTTCATCTGATGACACATCCACAAGCGAAATTTGTGCACGAAGTGCAGATAATTTTTCTGCACCGATGCTGTAGAGCTGCATGAGTTCGATGATTTTATCCAATGTATCGCGGTCAACGCGTTCCAGGAGTGTCAATTGCCTATTATACATCTGAATCTTGGTATGGACTTCTCCGCTAATCGGTGAGGCATAGTAGGAAGCGAGAGCGAGCTTGATAGCCCTACGAGAGAGTGGCTGGCTTTCAGACACAAGATGCAGTGTCTGCAACACAAGTGTTAAGTCGATGATGTACGACATAAAGCGCTGAAGCACTGCATGGCTGAGGAGGTATTGATATTCTTTCGCTCAAGGACGAATAGCGGTACGTACGACGTCTGGTACACATCACGAGCCCATACAGCGAGTACAACACTTGCCGCGATCGGCACCACAATGGGAGCCGCAGGTGCTGCCGAGGCAGATATGATGCACGTGATAGCACCCACAATAGAGAGCCCTACAGTACTGTGAACACCCAATGAAATAAGAATTTATCCGTCGCGTAAGAGATCGACCCACATGGTCTTGTTGGGATCCGCTGTAGGTTCAGCATCTATTTTGTCAACCATGTTCACCATCAATGTCCTGAACTCTGGGCTATACAAGTACTAGGCGTAAATCAAGTCAGAATAGATGCGACGATAGCAGAGAAAATATCCATTACACAATGAGGGTCATGAAAGTTCCAGACTGCAACGATGTCGTCGTGAAGCACATGCAGACATTCCCGTATCGTATGGTTCTTGAACGCTGTGCTTGATGCCAGTGCATTCCAATATCCTGTAGCACATGAAAGTTCAGTTGCGCTCAGGGATCGCTAACACGAATTAAGACAAACTTCTCTTGCCAACCCTGATGATACATAAATCATAAGATAAGAACAAGGCAAGTAATGCTTACTCAATTGATGCATTCATTTTGAGTCCAGGATCCACTCTTTGGGCTATAGAGGTCATCACCGAGGCCTCGAAGGCAAAGTGCTGACGGACGAGGTTTTCAGTCACCTGGATCAAAGGTACAAGGGTTTCCTTATGATCTTCTTTGGATGTGGTAGTATATTTCAGAAGCACGCATAAATCGGTCAAACCATTAGTACCCACTAGATATCGCAGCGTAGGGGACATGACGCCCGGCGAACTTCTGTAAGGGTTGGATGCAGATATTCTTGAGTTCAGCATCTGCTTCTTTATTGACGAGTTTCTTGATGGCGTCATCGCTCAACCTTTTGAGAGATGGGCCATCCAAAGTACGTTCCATGCGTTCAATGAGCATATCGTACTTGGTAAAAACGGCGACAACAGGTACTTAAACTAAAGGGTGAGTTGCTACCTGCGCAGTGATAATCTTTAACAAACGTACTATTTCCTAACTTTCCGTTGCGCTTCAATGTGAGGAAGGCCTCCATACCAGTTTCCAATAAACGCCCGCCTGCACGGGGTATTTCAAAGCAAAGCCTTTCGTGTACGTCGTCAGCGTGTCATAGACTCATCAAGATGGAGGCCGTACCAAACAGCATGCAACTGATCTTTCAAAGCAAGCTCAGATATCCGACGTTGGATGAAATTTAGGACTATTTGGACGTTATCTTCTTCCCCCGGTTCAAAACCTTTGCTATCATGGAGAACAAAATTGTCGTTCTGTTTTGAGATGAATTCGGTATCAATATTAGCCTCGCCCGGCTTATCATGCGAAGTGAGCTATGCAAACAGAATCAGTAAATCGCAAGTGTTTTAGTGTCATGAGCAGCCTACCGCTTCTTCCACTCCGAATGCCTGATTAATCAGCGTAGACTTGCCGACGCCGGTCTATTAAAAACATGTTGTCATCACAGGCGTGAGATGAGCGAGGATTTGATACCTTTCCTATCACCAGAATTCGAAACCTTGAGAGCCTCTGGTGTCAACCGAAGAATGGCGTGATGTGATTATCCTAACTCACCGAGGACAAATCCGAATGATCTCGCCAGTGGTAGACTGAAGCTCCGGGTGTTCACCAGAAGAAGTCGCTGTCTGTTCCGCTCGCTATGTGCAGCTTAGACGAGTTCCAAAGCAAGACATGGGTTCTTACTTCGGTCGATGTTGATGTATTCCCGAAAAGCTCAATGGTGATTTTGATTTTCTTATGAAACTTGATGTATTCTGTGCATGTGGTGTCGAGTCCGTGAGTGACCAATCAATGTGAGAGCGAAACGATCGATGCTTGACCTTGTCTCTCGACACGGATGATGTCGTTGGTATCGAAATTGATGTCTTCATGCCCAGCCTTCGCTCCAAACCACCAGCTCTTGTAACGTAGATCTAAGGAAAACGAATCTGCAAGAGCAAGCTCTCTGGGGGAAAACACGATTCAGACAGGCAAATTTATCTAGGGGGTCAAGCCCTTATTACATGGGTGGAGAAAATGTTCGTCGCAAAATCTTTCCTACTTCGCGTTCAATCGCGTACCGCAACCTGCCGATCCGTACTTCAGCGGACCCTACATTCTTGCCCGACTTGCTGAAATCAACAGAGATACCTATAGATATATCACTTAGTTGGATAGGCCATCCAGCAAAGGCGAGAGCTGAGTACCAGATATTTGGAGAGGACGGTAAACGGGTAATGTGTGGAAAAGGTTGGCCATTCGGACTCGAGCTGGGGGAATCATCGCCTTCTGACTCTAGATTTATGTGGAGCATGGCAGGCTAAGTTAGTCAGCTGCATCCCTGCAGTGCGGTATACTTGTGTGATGTATATAGAAGCTGGACTGAATCGAAATCGGAAAAGCGATGCTGGAATCTAATCCTCGTGTTTGCTTCATGGTGCACGATTCTTTGTAAATGTTTTGACTATTTGGCTTATGACTCGGAAATGAAAATGGCAATATGTACAAGGTTTGGTTCAAATTAACGAGTCCCCAGGCCACTCCGAGTCACCGGCGAGGGCGTCATTATATCCTACATGCTGCAGGTCTGCCATGAACGTTGAATCCATCGTTGGACCCATCACCGACACGTACGATAGGAAGCGAATAATCAGGAAGTGATCGAATACCAACACATCAACCTAGGCCTCCTGCAGTTTAGAACGTGTTTCTAGATGCTGATGTACTGTGAGCCGAATAGGCTCTGATGAATAATATTTGAAACGATATCTAAGATTCTAAAGCAACATGAGGTCTCACTCATGTACGCCTCATGGGTAACGCACAGCTATCTGTAT